TTCGCCCTCAGAATATTTCATCCCTTAAGTATAAACATGGAAACTTACTTATGTCGTTATGACTTCTCTTGCTCTTGTAGTGTCAAAAAGGAACCACAATAGCAATCCTTTTTAATTAAATTAAATACACATTGTTTTGTTTTCAAACTTTGAGTTTATCCGCCGGATAGTGGATTTAAACTGCCTCTGGACCTCGGATAAATTTATCCAACGGATAGTGCATTTTTATCCGTTGGATAGCGCTATCCAAGCTTCGTACAACGCGATTTTCACTCCGGATAAAATGTATCCGCTGATAGGGACTTATCCACAGGATAACGATTTATCCACCTTTGACTTTGTACAACCGGCCCCATGAGATTCGGATATTGATTATTGAAGATGTTCGGTTATAGTTAAAACGCGGACAGGATGGCATTATATTGCATGACCAGACATACAGCACTGATCAAATGCCGATTGCCGTCGAATATATTTCGCTGAAATTTGAACTTTTCACGGATGTTTATCTTCAAGACAACAGAACTCAGAAGACAGACAATTTTATATAATACTGTGGCTTAGAAAACGAAATATTTACAATGGCCGAGAAGGGCCATGACTGTAAACACTAACCGTTTTTTACCATTACACTCGTTGTTTTTTTCCTTCAAAATTACACTCGCTGTTTTTTTCTTCAGAATTACATGCGAAGTTTTCCCAATGCAATAATTTATGGTTTAGTTAATTTAAAGCTTCCTCGTGCAGCTGGTAACACACTCGACCAATGAAAGATAGTCCTTACTGCATGCATGGACCTTTACGGAGAAGAGTTTAGAACTGACAATATACATGCAGGCTAACGTTTTCTATAGCTTCTGTACTTACGTTGTAAAAGGCTTATTAAGTATTTTTTTATAATAAACAGCTGGAGTATTTTGCTTTTAATTTCTTTGTTCAGAGAAAGGGCGGGAAAACCTTTCAATTCCTACAGACAGAATGTCTGTACTCCCTCACAAGCTTGCAATAATAGTTAGTTAAGCCTGGTTCACACGATGAAATAAGCATAAGCACAAGCAGCGGAACCTTTGATGTGCATAAACGTAGAGCATAAGAAGAACGCAACATTTGTTCTTCTTATGTTTATGCTTATGCACATCAAAGGTTCCGCTTGCTTATGCTTATGCTTATTTCATCGTGTGCACCAGGCTTTATAGCTACGTGCAGTATTGAAATTCTTCAGAGAGATATTGTGTTCTATTTGGGTCTGCAACTTGCGAGGCGCCCAACAAGATTCCAGAATATATATCATGCAGTTATAAATGTTTCTCAACGAATATCTTCCATCTTTGTCCTCTTGTCGACTGTTGCGAAGTTTCTGGCCGATAAACGTTTTAATTACTGTATAAGAAAAATGACGGTTATACGATTTTCACGAATTAACGGTGGCGCGATTAACGGTGAAGGAGACAAAAAAGGTTTGCGGAGCGACCAACCCCCTATAATAGACCCCCTATATGGTATTGAGCACTGTTTGTGTTTCGTAAACCAAAACTTAAGATTTGCCCTTTTCGGGGCTCATCAGCACAGTGCACCGATGATGAGCTTCCACATCCGATAAATATATATACTATATAGAAGACAAGTTGGTGGATTAAACATAAACGAAAGACATAATGTGTAGTATATAAATTTCTGTAGTGTCCCACATCCACTACCTTGTCTTCTATATATAATATATATATTTATCGGATGTGGAAGCTCATCATCGGTGCACTGTGCAGATGAGCCCCAAAAAGGGCGATATATATATATATATATATATATATATATATATATATATATATATATATATATATATATATATATATATATATATATATATATATATAACATATATATATATATATATATATATATATATATATATATATATATATATATATATATATATATATATATATATATATATATATATATATATATGTAATGCGAAACATCAAGAATTTTTGTTGGCGTGAAATCAGTCGAGTCCTTCGAGTGGTACGTGAAAACTAGTGAATAACAACATGTAGGCCGTATTCTGTGGCCGCTTATCGTTCAGTTCCGTTGCCCCCATTCGGGGAATACTTTTAGTTTACATGAATCTATAGATTTTGATACGCTGAGTACGAATTCAGTTGTTGTAACTCGCACAAACCTGCAGTTTTTTTGTATTTTACGATCAAACATCAACATTTTTTATTAAAATTTCCGCCATTTTGTTCAGGAAACTTCATGTTATTTACAGTTATTGTACTAGTCCAAGTCTCTTAGCAGGGGGGTTGCACGCGGTATTACGCAGTTTGTTATCATTCTTCTGAGAAAAATATACAGAAATGAAATAAAAATATAGATATTTTTCACAATATAAATGCAAAAGGTACTGGTACATGTTTGTAAATAATTAGGAATTAGTCTATTATTCTTTATTGCATCAACTTTTGTTTTTTTTGGCTAATCATGATGTGAAATTGCAAAGACTGTCACTATATCCACAAAGACTCTCACAGCTAGTCTCACTTGTCATTGGTAAAGTTGTTTATTTTATTTATTACTGAAATTATGTACATAATTTTGGCCTTGCAATGTGAATAGCCAGAATAGGCAATTTTTCTTTGAAATTTTTGTCAACAATGAATAAGGAGCACAATATATTGTTCAATAAATGTTAGACCTATTTGTAGACCATTGCTCATCAAATTATTAGTAGCAGTTGATCTCAATAAAATTAACTCGTCTATTTAATAAATCTGCACATAATTAGTTCCATTTTCTTGTATTATAATATTTTTCCTATATTATTATGGGACATTGAGCTTTATAAATAAAAACTTTTGGAAGATGGCTTTCACTCTCTGACAGACAGGCTACTTTTTGTCTGTTTATATGGAGTTAACCCAACCTAGATTTGCTATATTTCTTTAATTACTTTATTGTTATTTAAGTATTCACATTAGCAAATGGTGGCTGCACAGGACATTTGCCCCAATTATTACAGCTACAATATAACAACCGGCCTAGCTTGGTTTTTCAATTTATGTGAGACTGTTGAGGCAAGCATGGGCGTGCTGGAACAATTAAAGCAGCTGAGCAAAAAACTATATTCACACAAGCAAATCTCAAAGTCATGCCACCTAGAAACATTAATTGATCGAGCCATTTGAGGTTTAAATGTGTAAAAAAATATTAAATACAACATATTGTCATGATCCATCATCACCTTAAGCTCTAATCCTATTTGAGCTGCCATTAATTACCAACTGAACTACTGGAGATTCAGGGATATTTTATATTTGACCAGGCAGACAATAGAAATTTAAAGTAATCTGGCATCACTACCTACCAATATGCCTTAGTTATATAAACCTTCTTTCCTCTTGGGCTGGCCTGCCTGGCCAAAACTCTTTTCCAAGCCTTAGATCTTGGATAACAGCTAGGCATTAAATAATTAATACATAATTCACATCAATCTATTGATATAAATAACATTTCTTTATTTTCTTAGGGGGTGTTTATATATGGAGGGCAGCCAACTCAGATACCCGAGCTAGCTTGCTTTGCCGAGATCTAACATTGCTATGTAATTTATACTAACATTTATCTTGTGTTTAAATGGGAACCGAGCTGGCCTGCCTAGGTGAGATGTTGGAAAATAAAAATATATTTACTTATATTATACTATTTATAGCGGTAAGACCAGTGATTTGTTTTGGCAAGACAGCCCACCTCAAGGGTCTAATGTAAACATGGGATAAAATCAGCTCAGCAAAGAGAGCTAGCTCGGGTGCATGGGCTGGCTCACCTCCATATAAACACCCCATTAGAAGATTTCAAAGTTAAAATTTATTTTGAAATCTCTTCTGAGGGATAAAACCTTCAAAACTTTATTGTTGACAAAAATTCCAGGTAGACAGTATTCAGGAAAATTGCCTTTTCAAATTGTAAGGCCAAAATTATGTACATAATTTCAGTAATAAATAAAATAAACAACTTTACCAATGAAAAGTGAGAGTCTTTATGGATATAGTGACAGTCTTTGCAATTTTACATCATGATGAGCCAAAAAAAACAAAAGTTGATGCAATAAAGAATAATAGATTAATTCCTAATTATTTACAAACATGTACCAGTACCTTTTGCACTTATATTGTGAAAAAATATCTATATTTTTATTTCATTTCTGTATATTTTTCTCAGAAGAATGATAACAAACTGCGTAATACCGCGTGCAACCCCCCTGCTAAGAGACTTGGACTAGTACAATAACTGTAAATAACATGAAGTTTCCTGAACAAAATGGCGGAAATTTTAATAAAAAATGTTGATGTTTGATCGTAAAATGCAAAAAAACTGCAGGTCTGTGCGAGTTACAACAACTGAATTCGTACTCAGCGTATCAAAATCTATAGATTTATGTAAACTAAAAGTATTCCCCGAATGGGGGCAACGAAACTTGTTTTCTAAGCGACTTTTGGGGTCACAGAATACGGCCTAATGCCTCCAAAGCGGCGATTCAGGCCGCCGAAATCTGAACAAGAAGAGAAACAGATATTGGAAGAGTGCATCCCGCCTAAGTCTACACGAAGTTCTACAAAGTGGGCTTTCAAAGTCTTTTCCGAATGGCAAGTTGCACGAGTGAACAAAAATCCCCGTATAGAGGAGCGGTCGTTTAAAATTGACATCGACAAAGTGCAGACATTAGATACGAATATCGCCAATATGAGTGTGGAAACCTTAAACTTTTGGCTGACCAAATTTGTCCAGGAAGTGCCCATGCAAGGCCAACGGAGAGAGCTATCCGGGGAGAGTTTGTATATGATTGCTGCTGGTCTTCAACGGCATTTAGGCGAAAGTGGAAACGCCATTCGACTGCTGAATCAAGACGAAGAAGGTTATAGTTAAAAGCGACTATTTAATAATGTCTTGCATTTTAATTGTGACTTAATATCATATATGACTGTGATGTGGACTGATTCGAATCGGGATGCTTGGCTTTGTAAATCTAATTTTTCTTTGATTTTCAAGGTTAGAAATATTCAGGCGTGCCGTTGGATGCAGAGATGCGGAAGGCAACTCTAGACGGCGTAGCCATCAAGTCAAAATGGGGGATAGAGGTGGGATGACAGAAGAAGATGAGGTTGCTTTGTGAGAAAAGGGGCTCCTGGGCTCTCACTCAGCTAAGTCATTATTTAGGACAATTTATTTCTATAATGGCAAATTGTTTGGCTTGCGTTCAAAAGAACGTCGGAATTTAAGATATTCAAATTTCAGGGTAGACTCGCAATCAGTTACTTATGATGAAAGTGTGTCTAAAACCTATCACGGTGGGTTGAAAGATTTAAAGTACAAGCCGAGAGTATAGTGAAACATGTTTGTTGTGCTGGAAAAGAAATCAACCATGAACCGTGTATAGTAAATTGCTATGCAATTTATATGGAAAAAATCAAAGAGCTAGCTGCCCATGTAGAGGCATTTTATTTTAAGCCAAATGTAAACAGCGAAGTGTTTAATTTTTGTCAAATGCCTGTAGGTATTAATACACTAAACAAAGTCTTACCAGACTTGTGTAGCGAAGCTGGTTTGGAGCGTAAGATATATATATATATATATATATATATATATATATATATATATATATATATATATATATATATATATATATATATATATATATATATATATATATATATATATATATATATATATATATATATATATATATATATATATATATATATATAACAGGTTGTGGTGTGTAGACCTCATCAACGTGTACTATTGAAAGCGCTCAATAGGTATATACTAGAGCTATGTAGAGTTAAGGGAGACTTCTTAGTTTAAAAACATTTAATTGCTACTCTGAGTTTCATGCTTCTGCATGAAGCACAAGAACACTTGCTTTTTGAATACAAAACGTATCCCCATAATAACTACAAAATATAAGATTACAAAGAATGCATTTACATTTTTTATATATTATATGAATGATAATATGCATGTTTACGTAATATTTACGTATTTTCATGATAGATTTATCATGTATATTTATAATGTATAAGTATAAATTATTTCAGTATCAAATAAGCGGAAAGAACAATTGATACCATATAAATTGCAGTTAAAAAAGTATTTCGAGTTCCTGACATTTTTTGGTTGGAGCATGACAATAAGTAGTACGTGAAATTCATTTCCAATTTCATTCGATTGACGCACAAAAGCTAGCGATCTTCGTATGGTGTTTTATTATATCTGCCAGATTCAACCGGTAGTTTGTGCGCAGATATTCTCATTTTTGTTATTGCTAGTGCCAATGTTTAACATTGCATATTTCATGGAGGTATTCTTCAAATACAAAATTATTCTTAACTTGTGTGAGAGTTCTTAATTTACCACTGTAACGACTTTGTTCAATCTGATCTTTCCAGAAATGAGTATAAAGTAAGTAAATAATCTATTTTTTAAATATGTACCTATATACATTATGTAAACTTTCAAGCGGGAGAGAAATACCGTTCAGTGATCCCAAATTACATAGTTTTAATATATAGTTTGTAAAGTTTACTGCCTGAGTATTCGATCGAATATCATTAAAACTCCCCGCCTCTCCTACAAGAGGAATACTATTCATATATAATTCGGAGCTTCAATTCGTATAGCCAATACTTTGTCACTATAGAGTAGAGATCTATATATATATACTATTTATAACTACCTAGTTCACCGTATACTGCTAGATTTGCACTTTTTGAGCTGCAATGATTCCATTTTATTTACCACACTGAAAAATTTCAGTTTTGAAAAAGTTTAAACGAAGAGATAAACATGCATGTACCCCAGATTTCACAACCATATAATTAAACTGGAACCACTACCAAATAAAATAGTTTTAGCCTGCGAACAGGCTCTCAAGCTGAATTGAGAGCCTGCATCGATGACTAATGAATTTGAATATCTGCCCCGTAACGTTCGTTTTTCCAAATATGGAATGTCTATCCTTATATGGTGTTGTTTACAACTTTCGTGCAACTAAATTTAGACCGTGCAAACTAAATTTAGACTGTACAGTTTATACTGTTTTTCGAAATATAAGATATTCAAGCAAAAGTTCAAATGTTTTAAATACTGTTTTCTCAAAACAGAACATTTCGTGCTTTGAGATAAGACGGCCAAGACCAATTTGATCAGTTAATGTGTTTTTTTTATGCATAGTGCTTCAGCAGTTGACATATATAGAGCTCAGCGGAAACATATAAATTATAGCCTCTGACCAATGAGAATTTCGCGTCACGATTTGAGACGCAGATATTCAAATTCATTAGTCATCGATGCAGGCTCTCAATTCAGCTTGAGAGCCTGTTCGCAGGCTAAATAGTTTCAGTTATGTTTTAATCGGTATATTCTCTGCATTTGAAAGTTTGTCCATTCAGGCAATTGTATAAGCTCGTAATGCCCTGTTGTATAAATACATCAGGTTTTGCCATGTCAGAGCAGAACAGCTATTGTGCCAATGGTACGACTATAAGATTGCATTAGCTTCGATCGGTCGACTGAAAAGCCACTGGATCTTTCAATGTGACCTATACCTTGCATGGACCTAATATAGAATATCGATGTCTCAAGAAATGTTTACTCTACCAACTGTTAATATATATTGCAAGCCGCATAGTAGTCCAAGCATGTGAACACCTGAGCAGACGTCTTGCTTACGCCCTGCACATATACTGGTATCTCGCTAGCCCTAGCGAGTTTACAAAAACATAAAGCCTTAACGATGATCAAAACGACACCATGTGTATAACATACTAGCCTTATAGCGCCATGAGGCTTCCTACAACGAGCGTATAGTAATGAAGGTAATTATGTTAACGCTTGGAGCGTCAGTTTTACATAATCTTAAAAAGCTTTGGCATTATTTACCTTAACATATCTAGTATGGCGTACACAGGACTTGATCCTTCCTTCGGCATCCTGTCTTCTTCCTGAATTTCATGAGCTCGTGGTTTTATTATAACTCTTGCTAAAACAACAGCCAGGCTGGTTGCGATTAAAGAGGTAACCAAAAAATAGAGCGCTGCACGTTTTCCAATTTTTTTTGCAGTAATTTTATCGATTATTGTTAGAGAAGTTATAACACTCGATGCAATCAAAGGTAACACTACAAGCATCAACATTCGCACAAATAATTCTCCTGGAAAACCAATAAACATCGCCAGTTCTCTTGGGGTAAATTCAGTTGAATGTTGTACTTTGTCGTTGAGAAAAAGTCCAAGTACAATACCTAAAATCACTCCAAGGAGTAACAGAAGAAACATAAGGTTTTCCCTGACCACTTTGAAGAAAGACTTCGACATATTATAGGGTTTTTTGTACGCAAGATCCTTTCTGCTTGCACTATTCAAAGCACTCGAGTCACGTAATGTGCGACTGTATATACACCGGTATGCAATATGCCTATATATATATATATATATATATATATATATATATATATATATATATATATATATATATATATATATATATATATATATATATATATATATATATATATATATATATATACTAACTCGATTGTTCGAGAGTCACAACGCGTAACTTGTCATTGCACATGCATATCTATTATCATCCGAAGTCATAATTAAGTGGAAACAGTTCATCACGTTTACCTTACAGCCATTATATATCACAATATACATGCATAATTCGATATCCGGTACGTGATCTCTGCAAGCTCATGCATGCAGTAAAGCTTTTCTAAGGAGATCCGTTTTCTAGTTTAATTATACTGTTAATTTTTCAATATTATTCTTAATTGCATGGTGGCTTATTTTATATATATAGACTCTATATATTATAATACAATCCTCTATCAATACAAATAAAATTTAATCTTAACAAACTTTAATTGCTTTTATTTACCTCATATCTATAGTATGGTGTACATAGTAGGCTTGATCCTGCCTTCGTATCAAATTTTTGCTGCAGTGCTTTTTTATCAATTATATATATATATATATATATATATATATATATATATATATATATATATATATATATTGTTAGCTTATAGTAAAGCCTGGTTTCCATATGGTTCTAACGGTCGTGGCAGATTGAGTCGCGATCTTTCTCATCAGCCGAAATACAACATTTTAAAACTGAAAACGCGGAGTGCATGATTATAACTAGAGAATACTTATCATTTATATGTGATTTACAGGTATAAACTATAATAAACTGGCCGTTGAGATAGACCGTGACTCTATAAATTATTTTTACGACCATATGGAAACCAGGCTAAAGAGAAGTTTCCATTATGTGGAATTTTGCGACCGGAGCGGAATTTTTCTTAGATCCAGTCTACCGGCTTCGTACTCGATACAATCAAAGGTAACACTGCATGTGTCTGTGTCTGAGTGTTTCCGGTACCTCTGGCGTTACGTTATTATTATTTAAAAATCTTTATACACGGTAACTTTACACTGCAATATATATATATATATATATATATATATATATATATATATATATATATATATATATATATATATATATATATATATATATATATATATATATATATATATATATATATATATATATATATATATATATATATATATATATATATATATATATATATATATATATATATATATAGTATTCACAACAATAAATTCAGACAAGCTTCAAGTCGGCTACGAAGCAGACATATAACATCATTAGTCGAACCAGATCGATGGCGCATAAAACTTCTCGCCGAGTACCACATGAGTTCTCGGTATAGCGCATGCAGTTGGCGGTTAGCGCGCTTATCTAGAAACGCGGTCGCTTATCTATATATAGGTCGCGGGTTCGATCCCCGCTCGGGGACTCAGAAGTATTTTCTGTGATAAAGCTTGACAACAAATTTTACTCATCATATACCAAGCGTACAAACCTGCATGCTAGCCTATTAGCCTAACTATAAAGTTTACATTAACATCACGTCTAGTATTAGGACCCGTTTACATGAGACCGGAACGAAGTGAAACCGGTGTCCCAGGAAATTTGCCCCCCCCCCAATTTGGCCCCCCCGGGCCAAATTTCCAAATTTCCCCTCGAAAACATAGTTTACTTTATCGCTATAAGCTCGGAAATCGTGAAGCTTCTTCTAAAACCAAGATCCTAAAAGTGTTTGTCTGTATTTATAGTTAGTTTGCATAATTTATTTGTGTCTTCATTGCGGCAAAGAGCTATAAAAGTTTGAAGGAAAGCGTATAATAATAATAATAATGTGCTAGTGCAGTCATGCACATCACACTGCATGGGTATCTGTAGAGGACAACGTTAATGCATGATAGCTTAGCTTTAAGCTAAGAACACGAAACGATTTTTAAAGATAGGAATTTCTAAGATATTACAAGTTATTTAGATCTATAAATTCAGTCACGTAGTATAAAATTAGTCAGAATGACAACCGCACTTTAGCAAACAATGACATCATGCGTTGGCGAATATGTTAATATGCACGCGTCTAATAAATAACAGAGAGCAATTAGCGGTAAAAGTAGACTTTTGAGTGGAAACGTTTGTTCGAAAAACAAAATCAAATGAGTGGTTACTTCGTAAAAAAAACCTTTTCCTATGCATTTTACTTACATGATATACACAGTATATATAATCGCTCATATATGGTTGGGATACATTACAGAGCAATCCGTAAAAACGAATTCAAAGTAGACTGCATGCTTCATGGCTCACAAAAACATTCCGCACACACAAAAGCACAAAGGTTTGCAATTGAATGACGTTCCGTTTCCATAGCTTAATGATACAGCCATTATTTATTAACGTTGCCTTCTACAAAGCTGGTCAAAACGAAACGTGAAAAGTACGCTAAACTTTAGCTCTTGGCCTAATTCTCGTCAATATTGCAATTCAATGGAGAATTTTGACACAAAAAAATTATGCAAACTGAATATAAATGTTGAGAAAAATGTCTAGAAATTTGTTTTAGTAGAAGCCTTACGATTTCCGAGCCTAAAGATAAAACAAACTATAATTTTTAGGGGGGCCAAATTTCCTGTGACACCGGGAACATTTCGTTTCGGTCATAGTATTATTTCAGTATAACTAGATGTTTACATGAGACCGGGACGAAAATAATTCAGACCGGTCTCAAGTCATTCCGCCTGCTGGAGCCGACTGACTTCAGGCCGGCATGAATCCAGACTGGGATGAATGTAAACACAAATACATTTCAATCCGATCCCGGCTCAAACCTTGACATTGGAACAACACATGCCAACAAAAGCCATCTAAAAAAGAAAATTGCCTGGCAAGGGAAATAAATTGAAAATTTTGTGATTTTCGTACTGGTCTCGTGTAAACATGTTAACAATTTCAATTTTCATTCCGGTTTGATTTCGTCCCGGTCTCATGTCAACGGGGCCTTACACAACAATAAATTCAGTGACATGTCACGAAGCAGACAAAACATTTTGCGGTTTTGAATAGATACATATGTTCATTGTTTATCAGTTTCAACGGCGGTCTACTCGTAATTGGCGGTTAGGCGCCATTTTGGCACTTGTATAATGCCTTATAGAATTAGAAAATAATAGACACATGCAGGGTGTCCCCCCAAAAAAACCCAATTGAAATAAACGTATTGTTAGAATTTGAATGCCCAACATGAGCTCCACCTTTGAATTTACTATAGGAGTAAATTCTTAAGCATGCACGTCCGAATTTATCATTATGATAAATTTGGACGTGATTTTCAGTCATCACGATTTCATTATGATAAATTCGGACGTGACTGGAAATCTTGAAAATCACGTCCGAGTTTATCATTATAATAAATTCGAACGTGATTTTCAAGATTTTCAAAAAAATTGTTCAAAAAAGTTTAAAAAAGTTTTAAAAGATTTTAAAAAGAAAAAAAAAGTTTAAATATAGTTTCAAAATAGTTTAAAAAGTTAAAAAGTTAGGGTTAGGGGTTAGGGGGGTTAGTGGTTAGGGGTTAGGGGTTAGTGGTTAGTTGTTAGGGCCAGTTAGAGGTTAGGGTTGCGGTTGTTGTTAGAGTTAGTGTTAGGTGGCGCGAATTTATTATTATGATAAATTCAAAATATGCCGCGAATTTATCATGATAATAAATTCGGACAGGTTTAAGAATTTACTCATATAGTAAATTCAAAGGTGGAGCTCATGCTGGAATGCCTCATCACTCTATATTCTATAAGTGCATAAAAGCTTGATATAAGTAAATTTTATGCATAAAGAAACTGTTTAATTTAATTAAAAGAATGTTTGTAGGAGAGATTTATGTAATAGGCCGCAGCTTTAATTATTTTTATGTTAGACAAAGCGAAGTAAAACTCATTGTTATCAGTGGTGACTTCAACCATTTTCTCCCGAACTGATGATCATTAATTTGTAATTTTATCATTTGTGCTAAGTTATTCTCTTTTAGAATTTAACTAGCTGCTTTAAACACAGCCGGCCCAATCTCTGAATCAGTGAATGGTCTATATTTTGAATATTTATACGGAATATTTATATATTATCATAATTATTAACGAAATAATTCAAAAATTACAATATACTGTATATGTAAAAAATATATCTAACTTGTCCCCGAGCCAACGGCGCGGAGCGCCGTTCCGGACGTAAGCCCGGGGCGAGGGTACTAATTCCACCCGCCTATTTACACCCGGGGAAACGAAAGCATCAGCGAAGTCTAAAGTTCATCAATGATCGCGGGCGTGGATTACCGTGCGTGGTTCGGTGGGTGGTCATCTCACTGATCTCAAAATATGGCTGTTTGCCAGGAGTGAAGAGGCAAAAAATATAAAAATACATGTCAGAAAGCTTCCGAAAATTCAGTTTCACATAACAAATTGTAAAACTTTTACCATTTTTAAACGTAAACAATTATAAGAATTGATTTAGTATGAGAAATCCTAAAGTATAGCCTATAGGGCAAGTTTGTTTCAATTGTTTATGTATGACTTTGTAATAATGTATTGATGTTCAAGTCTTTCCTATGCATTGTTTGCGAACGTTTCTTAGTTAAATTAACCTTTGTAGAAGCTCATGATAAAAATAGGTACGCGACCGCGTACACGTATCTGCGCATTAAAGGTCCAGACACGACGGAGGCGATTCGACAACGCGACGCGATTTTTCGATTTTCACTGACCGATAACTTTGATCCAAGTTTAAATTTTCCAAATATTTAGATGCGCTATAACATTTTAAGTTACTTGGTCTACATATGTTTCTAACTGATTTGCTCTCATTGGCTGTTTTTCAAACTAACTGAAAAATCGCGTCGCGTTGTCGAATCGCGTCCGGTGTGTCTGGACCTTAAGGCCTGATTCCACGACGGCGAAATTCGTCACGAGAATTCGAACTTGTGTCTGCGAAATACGGTGGTTGCACATGAGCGATTGTATTGAATTGTCCCACTTTGTCCCCTTTCGCAGTAAGTAGAAATGTTTCGTATTTCCCTCAAAAAAAATTATTAGTCACTAAGAGCGACTAAAGGCTGCACAAGCGTTCTGTCGTTATCGAAAAATGTATGGCTTATAAGTTGTCATTACTCATTAGTGAATGTGAAACTGTTTTTACAGTTTCAATATTAGTTTGTAAATCTCCGAATGGTAAAACTTGCCAATACTCGAATAATACGTTTCAAAAAAAGACAGAAAAGCTTTAGTTTTGCAGAGTTAAATTCTCAAACGTGTAAGGCAATAATAAGATGAAAGTATCACGAAATTATTTGAATAAACCACATCGCATATATGGGGGGCGAATGTCCTAAAAAGGGGCGATATTCCTAGGGTATTCGCCCCACCCCCTGGGAGGCGATATTCCTAGGATATTCGCCCCCCGGGGGAATATTCCTGGGAATATCGCCACGTTTTGAGGGGGGGCGAATTTCCTGGTGGGGCGACCTTTTTAAAAATTCTATCTTGCCCCCCCCCCCAAATTTGAGTTTGCCCCTCAAATGCCCCCCAAATTTGGAAGCCTGGCGCCGCCACTGCGCATTTCGCCGAGAAAAAACGCTCGTGGAATCAGGCCTTTACTGGATTGATGTTGCATTCTCGGAATCACATTTTTACAGCAATTGTGCGAAATTGTGCTAGTTGAAATTATATGCCTGCTTCAGATATAATATTTACATTTAACCAGTGACTTCTAAATTAAGAGGACGAGAACCATTTATATCCCGAATCACGGCAACTGATTACAATCATACAAAAATGTTTCTTTTTATCTGGAGCTAAATATCTGCTATTCATACAGTTCATTACTTTTAAGAACAATTTAAAGAAAATAATTAATTAAGGCTGTAAAATGTGTGGATTCAAAGACGTGGGATTAGACGTCTGTACATGGAGTCATGAGCTAATAATAGTTTCTGACATTTAAAACAACAGGGCTACGTTTATACTATACTTTGTTTTTATAGTTTAGCCAAGTTTCAGAGGCCTCCATTAAATAACAGTCAAGATATACACGCAAATATAATTTGCTTGTCTATATTTAAAATTTGTAATTGTTTCGTGAAGATTCAACCATAAAACAATTGCCGGAAATGCAAGCCCTGATTATAAAAACTCAGGGAAAACCCGTGCGGTATGAAATGCGTGGCGTAAACATGTCAATCAAATATCATTCTATAAATATGACGTTTTATATTTGCACAGTACATCGTGTACGTTTTTGTTGTAGAACTTGTGTTGTTCAAATCGAATATGAAGTAAAATCAGGAGCATACTGTCACAGGCTAATTTTGTATTTTAATACCCTCTGGAAATACCAAGGCTTTGGTACCCCTATCTATCACAAAATGTAACAAATCCAAAACAAAGTATGAGGACTAATATTTTTCCTATCATTTGACAGATTAAAAGTATTATTCAAGAAATATGTCCATTTTAATCATAACGTGATACAAAAAATACTAAATAACATGCAAAATTCAGTGCCAAAAAGGGATTTATTTGGCGGTAGTTAAATTAAATATGTACACATAATATGTTCTCAAACTGGCACAGTTTAATACCAATTGGCAATTAAAGCTCGCAATGCTATATATTTGCATGGTTTGATACGAAGATAAAATAGTAAATACTCATAATAATTACAATATGTCCATGACCTAATTACTCATTGCAATTTGCTACGCTCACTCGTTAGCAATATTCTCAGTTCAACACTCGAAATAAATTACATATTTCCGCACAACCATGTATAAATATTCTCTATACATTCCAGTTTACCTTTAATTTGTCAAGTGGTAGGCAAGATATTAGTCCTTTTGATTTGTTATTCTCTTGGCCCAACACGGGAGTGATAGGAACTTGAAAAAATGACAGTTGCATACTTGCGTGTAATTTGCTCGGAACAATTTGCAATCAACATTGCAAGATTGATTGCAATGTTGCGATACTCATGGGAACAGAACATCCGGTTTGACTGTAAGAGTTATATCAGTGCAAGACTGCTATAGAAGAAGATTTTATCAAAATAAAGTCAGGATGAAGTCTATTAATACCACGATTACTAATACTACTCTTGAAAGCTTTTCGAAAGACGCCATCTTGTTTTAAAGCTGTTCTAGCCTGCGAACAGGTCGTCAAAACAAGGCTGACGGACTTAACGAGTTAACAACTTAACTTACTCACTTAACTTTACTTTACTTTACTGACTGACGCGATAGCAATATATCTGCGCTACGCGCAGATACAAAAAGGAAAGCAAATTATTTTCATCAGCGTCCTGTACGAATTAAATTTATTTCATTTCAAAGTGCGAGTAATAAGTTGAAACTCGAGTTGAAGAGTTTATAAACATCGGCAAAAAGCAGTTGATTTCAATACACCGATTCAGCAAAAAAGCAATGCTGCATGGAAACGAGGCTTAATAGCCCTTGACGCTTGACCATATCCATGATGGCGGATGAACTAGCAGCCGCAGCTGGGGGAAAAATTGCAGCGAAGAAGAAAAAAATGGGACATAAATGTTGTGCAGCTGCCAATTGTAATTTTCGAAGTGACAATTGTCCTGATTTGTCTTTTCATGAGTTTCCAAAGGATGATTACTTAAAAAAGAAGTGGGAAGTCAAAATGCGAAGAGGAGACGCTACTTTCAAAAACATTGCGAATAAGTTTTGTTGTTCTGCGCATTTTTTGCCATCGGATTTCAAACAGAGTTTAACGGGGCATAGGCGAGTAAAGAGAGGAGCAATCCCTTCAGTGTTTAAATGGGCACCAGTAACTAGTGACCCCAGAGGAGAACGTTTAAAATTGCGAAACGAAATGATTGCCAAATCCAAATCTGAACAACAAACCGAGCATGGACCTGACGAGCAGCAACTTGCAGGTTCATCAATATCATCTTATTCATCTGGCAGAAATATGGTTGTTTTTGGCCCTCGAACACTCGAAGAATTTATCAATGAAAAGAAAGAAGAAGCAGAGCAGCTGAAAGCAGAACTTGCTAGAGCCAAGGAGAAAGAATATATTTTTACGTTTGGTCTGGAAAGATTCTCAGGTAGTAATGAGGACATAAACTTTTACACAGGATTTCCTGACTATCAAACGCTGATAGAATTCTGGAAATACATAGAACCTAATAGTTCTAGATTAACATACTACAGTTATCTTAAGAATTCCACTGATGTTAATTTTAACAATGCATTTCCATACCTTAATTTAACTGAAAAAAAGTTTCCTGGTAGTAGTGTAGGTGCCCAACGCAGTCTTCAGCCTATAGATGAGTTTTGGCTTTTCCTAACTCGACTCAGAGTGGGTCTGTTAGAGCGTGACTTGGCTTTCAGGTTTAATATCTCTGTGCCAACAGTATCAGACATAATTATAACTTGGAGTAACTACATGTATATAATGCTTGGGAGCTTGCCAGTATGGACTTCAAGGGAAGTAATTAAGTTACACCTACCTGAAGCCTTTAGAGGGCGATTTGAAAATGTAAGGTGCATCATAGACTGCACAGAGGTTAAGTGTGAAAAACCCCAAGATCTTCAGAAGCAAAGTGAATTTTATTCTGAGTACAAAGCACACAATACTTATAAGGGATTGGTAGGCATATCTCCTAATGTTTGGGTTACATTTGTAAGCAACCTGTATGGAGGTAGCATATCTGACAGAGAAATTGTGGAGAAAAGTCACTTTATTGATCTGTTAGAACACCCTGATGTAATTATGGCAGATCGTGGCTTTGAGATACAGGATATTTTAGCAACCAAACAAGTGAGACTGTTCATCCCACCAAAGAGGCAGTCCAAAATGGATCAGTTTTCAAAAGAGGATTGCTTTGAGACAATGAGAATTGCTAATGTTAGAATACACATAGAGCGTGCAATTAGGCGGGTAAAGGGATGGCACATTTTTGACCAAGTACTACCTTTAAGCATGAATGGTGTAGTTAATCAGATTTGGACTGTATGTTGTCTGCTAGTAAACTGGCAAAAACCTGCTCTTACATGCTAAATTAAACATGAACCAAATTCAAATTCATCTTATTAATTATTAAACAAAGCTATTAAATTGTTACATTTATTGTTATGTTAATAATATTATGTTATGTTAATTAATTAATAATACAGTATATATACAACAATGTTAATCTACTGTACTTACTGTAATTAAACAATGTAACCTTGAACACAACACTTGTTTCGTTTTATTGAGAAAAATCATATCGGTCAAGCCCATCCCTCAGTCTAGGATAGGCCAATTCTGGCAAAATGTATGAATCATAGAATAATTCAAGATTAGCAAACTTTTCAATCCACCATTTTGGATCATATGGAACCCTTTTGCAATAAAGTTCTCCATTACTTGCTCTGACCACAAAATCACACCATGTTCTGTTTACAACATATAACTGCTGTTGCATTTGGTAATAATACATATGCCTCTTATTAACCATCCCATCTTTTTTACATATTGATTTTTTTACTAAAGCTAATGATAAATCTTCACTGTCTTTAACAATGATATTCTTCACCTCTATTATTCCCAGGGGATTCTCAACACTGGGATCAGTAACAAGACCATCAGGAGAAGCACCTATAAACCCATGATGTTTTGATACAAAAAAACCACAATCTTCAACTTTAAGGTCACAGTGACCTTCTTGTTGCATTTTTTTTACATAATCAGTAACTGCTAGTTTTTCATTTTTAATTCCATCCCTCATAGCATTTGTTTGGACACTAGGGTTGTAGTTTAAAACCTCTTTTACAATTTTGGAAGGTGAAGTGCTAGACTTATGTGGACAAGCCACCCTGTGGCATTTTGAAGCTGTAACTCGGCCAAATCTGTAGGCAAACCACTTCGGATTATCAGGTTGCCCCCGGGTCTCTTTTTCTATTTTTTTTATTTCATTTTCTGACACAAAAAGTTTACACTTAATTTTCTTACACCGTTCACTTATTTCATCTAGGCTAAGTGGTTGTTGCTTTGGTGGAGATATTATATGATATTTTCCCTGTGAAATTTCCTGAATATTTTTTGCAGTATCAAAACTCTTACTTGTATCATGTGTTTTAGAGAATGTGTTGGAAGACACATTTGAGTTCATTAAAGCTTTAGGATGCAGTACAGATGTGCTTTTTCCTTGAGCAGACTGTTTACTCTCATTGGTCTTGTTACTGAAATCCTTAAGTTGCAAGTCAAGTACAGAACCTTTTGCAATTAAACCAACTATAGAATCTACAAGAATAATATCATTAGAATTAGGGGTCATTTTAGCAATTTTAGCAAAAGGAATACTTGGATTTGTTGCACTTAAATTATCTCTAAATTTCTCAACTGATTCTGGAGATAGCTTTCTATATTTGCTGGGGCGTGGATCAAATAAGGTAGGGAATACACCCCTCCTCTTTCTGCCAGGTGTATCTAAAATATGTCTTGGCTTGACAAGCTTAGAAGCCATCACAGCTTCATGCTCTACTTCTCTCCTACTAGGGATACCCCACTTCCTAGGTTTGGAAGTACATGCACGATCATCCTGTGTAGGCTTTTGCAATTTGCTATTTCTGGACATTTCATCTAACTTCCAGATTACAGCCATCACATGGCAACAACATCCACTTCGTCCAGCAGGACAAATTTTGTCACACTCTGCTGCTACGATTTTTGGACTTCCTCGTGGGTTTACAATCATTCGAACTTTGTACTTGACACATTTTCTATAAAATGCCCAACATAAAGCTCTAAGATAAACAACATCTCCTTCTCCAGCTTTGCTAACTTCCATATCGTGCACAAATGAAACCATTCGAAGTCCTTTCGAACTTGACATCTCAGCAATAGCGTCACCATCAACAGATTTTTTGGTTGACTTCCCGCACTTTTGAGTATGATCTAGGGTATCTGTTGGAACAAATACTGGTAGTATGGAGAAGTCTTTGTTGAAAGCACTGTCATCCGAAGGAAACTTCCCCAAACTGGCAGAAGCATCGTTTTCTACTTCCGCATTTGAACAATTTATGCCGTTTTCCCTGAGTTTGGCCAGCTTAGCCTTAGTGAATGCTTTGTTTGGATCAGGGTCAAATACCTTCTCCCTCACTTCAGGCATAGCATTGAGATTGCACACCCTAAAAAGCGAGTACTAGTCAAGCAAAATTATTGTGCGAACACAAACATTGCCCAATCATACTAATCATAGCGATCATCATCACGTGTGAACGCAGTACGCTTACCTTCCAAAAAGCTCCTTTTTATTCCCGCCCTGTTTCACCCTACGACACTTTAGCCAGAATTTCAGTTGATTAATATTTAACTTTCCGATATCTTTGTCATTAACAGAAGCACCAGGGATGTCTTCTGGTTTTAATTCGACTGTGAAATCGTCTAGTCGCACATCAGCACAAATATTTTCTGCCGCCATTTTGGATATTAAATTGTGCCAAGGGCTATTAAGCCTCGTTTCCGTGCACAATTAATTTTTTCCTGAATCGGTGTATTCACATTTAAAACGTTTTACGTAGAGTTTCGTTTTGAATTTTACATTAAAATAAAGCCCATAGAATTTATATGTTTTAGAAATTTATAGTTCTGTATTTAAAAGTGTTCAAAATTCATCTATTTTTCCCGGTTTGTACAAAAAATTAAAAAAACCATTATCGTGCATGTTGCCATGACTAACATGACGTGGCAACGCGAGCCTGCATTCAGTGTTGGTGTACTGTAATTACGAATACTTCATATTACACTTCCACAGTGTAGCTTTACACTATTTTACTAGGTGTACAGTAGAAAATATCCTATTTACATCTAATTCGGTGTAGATTTACATGAACGGTATAACATTACCTCTTTTCCCTGTTAATTTACACCTTGCGATACTGTAAATATACATTTATTCGGTGTAAAATATGCAACACTTGCGAAGTGTAAATTTACACTTTTCCTGGTGTATCATTACATCTATAGAACGCGTTAAAATACACTGAGCTGAGGTGAAGTAGAAACTAATGTATTAACTATTATTGCAGTGTAAATTTACCTTTAACAAGTGTAAAATTAATTTACCCAATTCTTGTGTATGGGATAACAACATGATAGTGTAAATATGCACCGGTGTGGCGTAAAAATTATGAATGCTTACTTAGCGTAAATCTATACTGAACCTGGTGTAAGTAAGCATTGATATTTTTTACACCATACCGGTGTATATTTACGTACACTATCATGGTGTTATCTCATACACAAGAACTGGCTAAATTTACAATGTTTGAGGGTAAATTTACAGCATAATAGGTGTTAATACTTATACTTCGGTTTCTACTTTACACCAGATCAGTGTATCTTAAAATGGTCTTAGTGTACGTAATTATGATTGCTTACTTAAATGCTTACTGGAATGCCTACTTAAATGATCAGTTCAATTCAACTGAATCAAAATATGTAAGATAGACTATAGTTTTAAGTGACCAGTCATAAAGTATAGGGGGGGGAGTGGGCTGGAGAAATCCAATTTTCAACTGTATATTTTTCCTTGGCCCACCCCTGGAATAAGGCTTAATTATCAATGGCCCACACTTAAAGACATGCACAAAAATTAATGACCCACCCTTTGCTAAAAGACAACAAAAGGCGGGAAACTCATGGATCGCTTTCTATTGGTAATATTTTTTACACGTTTCAAATTCAGTTTTATACATGATTTATTGCTTGGAAAACACCAAAACGTTACATACGACTCTTTTGAAAGTCATTGTTTTAACTCCAATGGATCACTTCACACTATTAAGCATCGTGATTGGTGCGGTTCGATCTGAGAAACCATAGAAGTGTTCCAGAGGTTCTTCCCGCTCGCCGCCTCCCAGCTTGAATCCTCGTGTATCCCTCATTATCCCCCTACGAGCGTGGAAGAACCTCTGGCACCCAGGGTAGTGTCCACACAGCTGCAAGCTATTTACAACAAAAGAGTGTAAAAAGATCTTCGGAGGTGTTATTTTGCACTCGTAGTGTAGATTTACACGAAATCGGTGTCCACACAGCTGTGAGCTATTTACACCAAAAGAATGTAAAAAGATCATCGGAGGTGTTATTTTACACTCGTAGTTTAGATTTACACCAAATCGGTGTCCACACAGCTGCAAGCTATTTACACCAAAAGTGTGTAAAAAGATCTTCGGAGGTGTAATTTTACACTCGTAGTGTAGATTTACACCAATTCGGTGTTCACACAGCTGCATCTATTCAACACTAAAAAGGTGTATTTTAACACCAAAATGAGTGTAAGTAAACATTAAATCGGTGTACACACAGCTGCAAGAATTTACACCGATTTCGGTGTTGTGGTAGTATGAACGTTCCTCTTTCGAAAGAACATGGTTTGTTCACCATTTGGACAATTCCTGTGACCATAGTTAATATAATGAGAGGGTTTGGAAGGCCCGGTCACGTGACAAAATAACTTATTGTTCCTTGTCACGTGGAAGCCAAGGTGCATTGACGAGGTGTTTACCTAGTAAAATCATATAAATTAAGCTAAGGGGGACACAAAATCATCGTATTTAGGCAATTTTTTCGTGATGCCAGGAGTGAATTGCTCCATATTTAGTTGCGCAGCAAGTAGAAAGCACGTTGGAGTAGGTATTTTTTAAATTCCTGCAGAAACAGATGAATTATCGAAGAAAACCCGCGAAGCTTAGATAAGTGTTATCACGAAGGACCGCTCTGTGGACGAAAGTTTGCGTCAACAAATCAATAGCGGAAATCTGTATATCTGTGAGAGGCATTTTAGGCGGAAAGAAGAATATGAGTGTTGTATTAAAGTATACATTGGAGACAAATTTGAAAAATTACAATATATGAATAATTTAGACATTGTCCTCGCTCTGTTTACAACGCCAAGTCACAGATTTTCACGTCTTGATAGAACGCCTGCATTTCAAGCCGCAACAAGTGCAACTTCAAACCGGGTTCAGGAAAACTCTACCCATGTCTTCAACTTCTAAAACTGTATTAAATTCATACGATTGATAATATACTACGAATTATCTTTACTACCATTTATTTGAAGGAGTTTGTTTTGGCCGTCGTCGTCGCGTTGCCGTCCTAAAATCGTAATGTCTGTATTATTATCTAAGATGCGACATTTTAATACATATCAGTGCGGTGTATAAAGTCTTTCGCATCACAAGCCAATCGTCGTCGCGTTGCCGTCCTAAAATCGTAAGGTCTCTATTATTATATAACAAATTTTAAAAATTCCCTGTATTTAGGTATTCGCCATATTGATCGCCACGCTGTTTAGCAAGAAATCGACATCTCAACTTGTCCCGGCCCGGAAGTGTCCTGTTTACTTGTTACACAGGATATTAATAAGTTAATGTGAAAATATGAAGATAAAAGTATCTTTTAAAAAATAAAACCTCTCAAACCTCGATTTGAAAGGCTTTTAAAAACGCTAATCCGTTCGGAACCTACAAATTCGAGGGGTAGTATTTAAGCTTGCGCAAGGCAAAGTTTGAAGACCCATATCTTCGCAATCACACAATTAATCAAAAATCGCCACGAGGAAGTTGAGGTGAATCCTTTTAAGAACAACATATATGAATTTCATGGCAAAAAACCAAAAAACCGCTTGCAGAAAAGCTCTGAAGTAACCCCATATGTTTGTTTACAAATTTCATGTGATGAAGCGTTTTACGCATTCTGATTGGCTTAGGGCAAAAATGTAAACAAAAGCGCTGATTGGTCGAGAACGAAATTCCCCCTTGTTCCTTGAAATAACTATTATATAAGCGTTCCATTCGCATGTTTACCAATCGCAAATTTGATGTCCATAATAGTTAGTATAACTATAAAGTTAGCATACACTCATGCACTTAATTATTTTGTCCTCTTTCAAAACCTCAAATGAAATTTTTTTTTATTAATTAATATAGTAAAGTTTTCATAATCATGTTCGTAGAAAACTTGCTCGTGTCTGTTTCTTCTACTATATACCTCTCGCTTTGGCCTTATAGACGCAGCAAACATATTCGGCAGACCGTCAGACAGTCTTTAGAGTAATAGAACCGACCCAAATTTTCTCGTTTCTCATCAACAATAATTAAGTGCGGCGTAACATGCATTCAAAGGTCTTCTTTGGACGTACTTAGTTTGCAAATTGCAAGACAAACATCGAATCATAGTTATTCGAATGAAGTCATCGCTATTGTTTTCATCATCAGACGCCACACGTGTCTTGCAATTCAAACATATATATTGTTTATGGACGTCAATAATGCATCCCTCAAGGTATGCAGCATTACAGGCTTAAATATAGCAGGAGGAATGCCTTGCATAGACTAGACTAACAATGCTAAACAAATAATGTTTTAAAAGTGCACATTATTTTGTTGACACATTATATATGCTCTCATAACAACAATTTTGAAACAGGAGTCAGGTGACAACTCTTTAATTGCCCATCTGATTGTAGTACCATGCATATACAGTAATGTGGGTATTTGTAAAGCCCCACCCTTGTTGATATTCTATTTTGTGGCTATCGACGACGATTGGAGATCGGAAATTCACCATTGCCGATCCGCGAAAAATGCATGTAAACCGGACCTTTGTTCAACCGTCTTGGGCAATAATGTTGACAAGTATTCTGGAACATGATTATTTACTATTTTAAAATATAAAATAAGTTTATAAACCAGACGTCTAGTTTTCATATCTTCCCAAGCCAGATCTTCCAATACTGTTGATCTAATAGTACCCCTCATAGCACCCATGACCACCATGGCTGACTGATATTGTACATGCTCATGAATTAAATCAGTGATTGTCAGAAAACCCATCCCATAAGACATCGGCATATTCTAACAATGGTCTATTAATAAGACATTTGTATAAATTTGACAAGATTTTCAGATTTAATTTAAACTTTAAACCTTTAAAAAAATAATTAAAGTAATAAGTTATAATGTTCACAGTTATAAAGTTGCATAGGGCTCTCGTTGATAACAGACCATGCCAGTTGTGGTCTGATGAGACCACCCTTCTAAATAAAATAAAATTTTATCTATTATGTGCAGGATAAGGAATAAAAGGATCACTAAATCTTAGCTATAATAAGTGATTCATTGTGACCGTGGGGGTCTTCCAACATCATTCCCCACACCCTAAAGCAATGGCAATGTCTTTCTTATTGTTTTTAATTAATTTCTGTTGTTACTTCCTCTTCTTCAGCAACATCAATAGTGACATCACTGTTTGCATCACTACCCACGGTAGTACATATTTCTTCACGTGGTGTAGTGACGTCATTTAATGACTGAAGATCTTCACGTGAATAATGTTCAATAATAACACAGGCTATGCAGTTCGCCCAAATACTGACAGGAGTGGCGAAGCGATCTCTATAAAAATATGTTACAAATAATTAAAATTATTAATTTACTTTATATAATTAATATGGTCAAAGTTATATTTGTGTGAACAATGAATTAAAGGCACAGTAGTTTTGTTTCTATTATTTTTTTTAATAAAGTAACATAATCATGTGATGCACGTCTTTTACTTTCCCTATGTTTCTGAGTTAACTGTGCATAGTTACATCGATATTAAATCTTTCTTTCGTCCGCAGAGGCAAATTTTTTTCAATAGCTGACGACCGGTCTTGGCAAATTTCAGGATGGTATATAAGCTAGTATACATCAATAGTTGAACCTCCCTGTGCTCTTTTCTAGTTGCCTAAATTGATTAATGTTTGGATACCATGGAGTGAATCATTTATAGTACGTATACGCAACTATAAGGGGGAGTAAAAAACGATTTTGTGCGCGTCAGTTGTTTGAATTACGTATTAATTTCTATTGTGTCCTTGGAGGGAGGGGGATCAATTTTCAATTTTCTTTTGCGTACGTACCAAATGGATGCCCCCACCCCCCGCCGCCAGTCTCAATTAGCTAAGGCAAACCATACAGCCTGCTTAATTATTTCGCTAAGCAACTGAATAACAAAACTGGGGAGGTGCAAGGTGCCAAGGGAAATCAGGTAAAATATACTGAGTAGGCATAGAAAGATTGGCCTTGATATACGTATAAATAATAGTGGAGATCTAAATATCAACAAATAAGAAGCGAGGGTTGTTAGGAATAGAAAAGAAATCACATCACGGATAATTGATGCCGTGCACAGGCTATAATTGGCAGTTGACCTCTTTACAAGATGTGATTGAAATCCGCAATATAGATAGTGATAACTATGGTATTAATATGTCAATATAATACACTTAACTACATAAACCAGTCAATTGCCACTATTAATCCAATATCTGCTCTTGGTATCCCAATAACTAGTATTATTTATTAACTGATTTTAGTCATTTTTATCATTCGTTTTGTTATATATATATATATATATATATATATATATATATATATATATATATATATATATATATATATATATATATATATATATATATTAATTAAATCAATATCACTGGCGAATAAACTTACACAAACCAGTCAATTGCCACTATTAATCCAATATCTGCTTTAGGTATCCCAATGAATGGTAAAACAAGGCCATGAACAGCTAGTGGTGTAGAAGCAGGAATAGGTGGGGCAGCAAGTGTTGCTATTGACGACAGTAAACTAGCAAAAGACAATATAAATTGGTCAATAAAGTGCTTATGTCACAAAAAGTTTTTTGTTTTGGAGTAGAGGACAAAACGTTAGTTAATAGGTTCTTTAACATTTTTCGGTTTTCTCTCTTCATTCGCGAGATATGCGGCTCTAAACACCGAGTAAACAGCGATTTTCGTGAAAATGTCGCGTATCAACAAGAGTTTGGGACGAGCGTGGTGTGACGTAGCCGTTAAGGCCCGGTTTAGACGCCGTGCTTTCATGTGCCGAACTTAATACAATGAATTAAGCACATGAGAAGCACGGCGTCTAAATCAATTAAGCACTGCACTTAATATTAAGCACGGCTAAATTAATAAGTTCGCCTGGTTCAGGCGTGCTACACGGCTGAAGCACATGTTGATTTATACTGCCGTGCTTTACATGAGCCGTACCAAATGCATAAATTCTGATAAAATAGAACATTTATAGTACGCGTGCGTTGATTGGTCGAGAAGCGTGTTTCTACATGGGAAATTTCCCGCCTAAACTTACAATCGTAAACAAAACAATTTTAATGCAAATTAAGAAACTGTTTATACAGTCAAAATACAAAAACCTTCCCACTTCCGATTCTGGCTTGTTTTGTATTTCTGTAATTTGTTCTATTTTTTCTGTAGAGATTTAATACCGCTTTATCGGCAAATATCGCGGTAGAATTTCCCTTTCTTTTCTTTATATACGTCAATTTGTAGCAAAAGATACACCTTTCGTTGGACTCTTTGCAAAAAAGTTGCGAAATTAGGCTTATAGCGATATTTGCTGATAAAGGCAAAAAGGGTTTCTTGCAGTAAATTGATGGAGCAAAGGTCGGCATTATTACGCAATGAGAATTTGTAAATATATCGAGTCTACTACAAATCTTTTTTTAGTTATATTATGAAATAAATATAAAACATTTATTATGTGTGACCCATACAGTTATAGAAACACTTGTAGTAGTTTGGGAGAACTCGAATAACGTGGAAAAACTCGCCCCAAGCCTATAAGTCTCGTTTTCCCACACATTATATCCAGGCATTATTCTATGTTTGTAGTAATAAGGCTTTTCAAAAAGCAATCGAAATTTTTAATAACCGCAAACCTGTAGACGCTCAGAAATACCAAGATTGTATGTGATAAACCCTTTTTTCTTTATTATGAAATGTCACTCGCCCCAGGTTTCGAAGTGAAGCAGCGCAAATTGTTAAGTACGGCTCATGAAAAGCACGCCTGTCTAAATCAAAATTGGAAGTACGCCTATTTTACTCCAGTAAAATATGAATTAAGTTCGGCTGATGAAAAGCACGGCGTCTAAACCGGGCCTAAGGGACTTAATTTGGACGCGCATTATTCATTCGTTTATATTTGGTATATATATTTTCCAGCACTCATGGTTCTCAATGTGACTCAGATGACTCAGAATACAATTATATTCCTGGGTATATTATGGAGGATGAATCAAATTATACCAGTCACGAAATTGGAACTCTAGAAGCGGTTGATAGCGAAATTTTAGGTGATTATTATTAATTTTGGACGAAGAATGGTACGCGCGATATCTAAAAAAATATGCGGAACACAAGGAACAAAACGAGATGCTACAGTGAAGATTAGACGGCTTTGAATATATTAAATCATGGTGAGCATAAACATAGATTTATTTTAACGTAAAATAAATATCTCTGGCTGATGTATTTTGATACGGCATCAGTCACATCAAAGAGTTCAAACCACACTTGCCTCACCTTCGCGAGCAAATACAAGACACGCTATCAAAGAAGATATAAACAGACAGGTTCAGAGCGAATGTATGTATTCTTTTTTCAAGCTACAGTGTTTGTCTATTTGTAATCACGTTTATTTAACAAGCTTCGTGTGTATTTTTTGTATATGTGTTTATATCACACAATGCCCGCATTTACACTGACTTGTGAAATACGATACAGGTGAGGACTCTTAATGTGACTGATGCCGTATCAACAAATATCAGCCAGAGATACTTATTTACGTTAAAATGTTAAAATAAATCTAAGTTTATGCTCACCATGATAACATGATTTAATATCTTCAAGGCCGTCTAATCTTCGCTGTAGCATCTCGTTTTGTTCTTTGTGTTCCGCATATTCATTTAGATATCGCGCGTAGCATTCTTTTAGTAGCGGTTCATCGGCATAAAGGCATGCATAGACGACATGTTCAGGCTGTTATTGTTAAATATCTGTACATTTTGTTGTGTTCGTTATTTGACATTTAACATTTGATAAAAATTTTCGAGATATTTATGTGAAGTGCAATGCCCGCTCCTTTTTTAATTAGCCGCTCCTTTTACCCGCTAACTGCTTTTTAGTTCAATGTGACTCAGAATACCATATATATTCCTAGGTATATACTATAGAGGATGAATTAAATAATGCCAGTCACGAAATTGGAATTCTAGAAGCAGTTAATAGAGAAATTTTAGACGATTATGAACTATAAAACCAGTTTCATATTTTTCTGACACTGCAATAGACCAACGAAAAATTCGTTGGCTCGAGCGGGATTTGAACTCGCATCTTCGGGTATCTAGACCGCATCTCTACCCATTAATTAGCTATCAAGTCAACGGGGATTGGTACGTAGCGAGTCTTAACCAATTTAATTAAGTGCACGAAATATTTTCGTGACGACTAACGCTTGTAGATATCCGAAGATGCGAGTTCAAATCCCGCCCGAGCCAACGAATTTTTCGTTGGTCTATTGCAGTGCCAGAATAATATGAAACTGGTTTTTCGTATCTCTGAGGTGGTTCTGAAATGTCTTACTATGACGTCTGCCTCGTCCCCAGGCGCTAATAAAAAAAATTTATGCGAGTCACTATATGAAGGTTTACATGAAGTAGTGCATCGCAATGAACAATCAAGTTATGGGCTAACCAGAACGCTCATATCCCATTCCCCTTTATGCGCGCCTATAATAGTAGTAGTAGTAGAACTTTATTTATCCACGCTGACCCCGTCAACCGTAGCTGATTTCCACGGGGGTCGTGTGCCAGAAAACTATTTTACATGCAGAATATGATAAGGATAAGCTAAGCTACTACAGTAATATATAAATTTAAAAGATATAACAAATGTTTTGAGCTATTTACAGGTAAGTTATATTTACAAAGGTTACCAAGCACTAATGTGAGCAGCGATTTTATTTCGAAAGGAAGAAAGTGACTTGCTTTCCCTAATTTCTTTTGGTATAGAATTCCAAATGTTTGCTCCGTCGTACATAAAACTATTTTTCATGCTATTTGTACGTGGTTTTGGTAAATAAAGACCACTTGAGACATCCCGAAGGTGGTAATTAGTTTTCTCACTCTTAAACGAAAATAGATTTGTGAGTGATTTTGGGCCCATTTTGTTTAATAACATACATCATTCTTGCTTTAGTTTTCTTCCTTTCAGTTTGGAGTGGCTCCCAGCCCAAAGTACGTAACGCAATCGTATAATCTACGTCATTGCTTATATTCAGAATAATTCTTGCCGCTCTATTTTGCAGTTTTTGCAGTCGTTTTGATTGAGTTTCGCCAAATACATCCCATACTTCACAGCAGTAGTCAAAGTACGGACGAACAATAGTGTTATATATCAAAATAAGTGTATCTTGATCAACAAATGGTTTGATCCGACGAATAGCAGAGATTCCTGCTGTAACTTTTTTGCAAATATTTTCGGTATTACTTTTCCAAGATAAATGCTGGTCAATTGTTGCTCCTAGAGTTTTGCATTCATGAACTTGTTTAATTTGTATATTTTCAATGTAAACATTTGGGCAAGAATCAGAAATATTTTTGATCATAGGTTTAGAGCCAATCAACATAAACTCTGTCTTAGCTACATTAAGGCTAAGTTTATTGGCTATTAACCATTTTTCTAAGGTTCTCTAAATCAGAATTTACTGCATGCAGTCTCTAGGTCAGTCATAGAATTTGCTGAAGCAGTCAAATTTGTGTCATCAGCAAACAACCGCGGTTTGGTTTTGTTTAGACAATGTGGCAAATCATTGATGTACAACAAAAAGAATAATGGCCCTAATATAGAGCCTTGTGGTACACCACATTTAATCAAGCGCTCAGATGAAAATGAGTTTTTTATTTGGCACTTCTGGTTTCTGTTTGTGAGACTTCTGGTTTCTCTTTGTTGAGCAAAGTTAGAGCTTGTCCTTTTATTCCATAGAGCTCTAATTTGTTCAGCAGAATTTGATGATCAACAGTATCAAAGGCTTTCTTCAAATCAATTAAAACTACTAGGTTAAACATTTTTCTGTCTAGATTTACATACCAATCATTAGTACAGTCTAGTAGTGCACTAGCTGTAGAGTGAAATTTTCGAATTCCAAATTGGGAATCACTGAGAAGCTCAAATTTTGTTAAATAGTTATACAGTTGATCATACAATATCCGTTCCATAATTTTACTAATGGCCGGTAAAACTGATATTGGTCTGTAGTTTCCAGGAATACTACGCTGGCCATTTTTATATATGGGCATCACTCTAGCAACCTTCCATTCATCAGGAAAAGAAGATAAAGTAATAGCCTGATTGAAAATAAGTGTCAGTGAATCTGAGATAACAGGTGCAGCTAATTTAATAATTTTGGAAGAGATTTTATCGATGCCAGTGGCTTTATTGTTGGAAAGTCCATGCAAAAGATGAGAGACATGACTGACAGTAACAGGTTG